TTGTAAGTTATATAAATATCTCATCACTTTATTGTATACCTGAAACTAATATAATATTGTAGGTCAATTATAATTGAAAAACTTTTTTAATTAAAAAAAGAGATAATGGGGAAAATATTTTATTTTCAATAGTGACAAAATTCCTAAAACATATAGAAATAAACTTATCTAGAAATGCACATCTGATCTGAGGATATATGATAACATTTTGCTAAGAAACATAAAATAAGGTATCATATTCCTGGATGGGAAAACTGAATAGGGCAAATATGTTAAATATTCAGAACATTTTTATACATTCTAAATGCAATTTCAGTGACATTTGGGATGCAAATGACCAAAAATCATGATTAAAATATCAGCTTAGAATTTATCGAGCTTTTACTCTGTATCTCATAGGTTTATGATCAGGATAAAATGGTCTAATATACATAAAACATTAGAATAGTGCTCGGCGAGTGTAAGCACTCATTTACAGATGAGCTACGTGCCCTTGAACTGGGGGCCCTTTGGTCCACAGGCGGACGCTCTATCCACTGAGCCAAACCAGTTAAGGTTTGAGTAAAGGAATCTTGACGGGCTCCTGTCCTCAAGGCTGTATACAACCATCCCAATGATGTACTTCAGAGATAATACATTAGCAGAAACACAGAGCCCCATTCTTCTGATAGGGACATAGATCTCAAAAAGCTCAAAAGCAAACGTTTCTACATTTGAGCCAAGGAAACCCAGGGCCAGTTGATTCTGGTTTGGGTAATGGTAACATTGGAGAACATACTGTCTCACCCATTTCCTGTGCCAACATCACTCATGCTGATGTATCTCCTTTGTTGCTATGGCCACCATGGCTGGTCAAAGAGCAGGGCAGGGAAGGAGAAGATGTTTGCCTGTCTCCATTGCTAGGTCTAAGTGCTCCATTACTGCCTCTCTGGGAAGAGGCACTTGACTGGAAGGAGAGTGAGCGGGCACTCGGTCAAGCCACAGCCACTTAGAGCGCCTGCCGTAGATGGGGACACAGGCTCTCCTTAGCTGGGGTCAAGGGGGAGAAAAAGCATAGCTGGTGGGTCATCGGGGTACTCCTGCGAACATCCCCCGATCATGAGCTCAAGGCTCAGTTCCAAGTCCCCCGGTGACTGCTTAGAGCAGCGGTTCTCAACCTGTGGGTCGCGGCCCTTTCACAGGGGTTGCCTAAGACCATCCTGTATATCAGATATTTACATTACGATTCATAACAGTAGCAAAATCACAGTTATGAAGTAGAAACGAAAATAATTTTATGGTTGGGGGTCACAACATGAGGAACTGCATTTAAAGGGCCCTGAAGGCTGAGAACCACTGGCTTAGAGGGAGGGTGGAACACCCTGCCTTGGGGACAGAGGGCTCTGTATTCCTAAGCCAGAATTCCATGAAGGGCTGGGTGACCCTTTCTGGGAAAACTAATCGATCTCCAGGTTCCCGACACGCACGAACTGCACAGCCTGTTACATCCAGGGAGACGGATGTGGACTGGTTCCGGGGCCCCTCGGGCATCCCTTTCCTCTCATTCCCTAAAGAGCCCAAGAAGCAGTGAAAGGATGCCAGCTTAGCTGAAGTGGGGATTTTTACGCAAGTCCATGCCTGGTGGGCTCTCAGGAGCCTCCGGGAAGATGCCCTCAATAACCGGATTGAATTGGAAGAAGGGTGAAGTAGGCACAGGACCAACCACTGTGAAAAGCATGGACTGAAGGGAGGTGGTCAGACCTCCGTGTGGAGAATATAACCAGGCATAGGTCTCAGCCCCCCACTGCAGGTCTGGTGTTGCACTGACGTGCAGGCATGGACACGCTCCCCCCTCTGAAGGCAGGGACAGAGGAGCATAGAAAGCGACACTGCTACAGGACAACCTGGCCACTGTCCTACTTGTCCTTTCCTATGTAGGAATAGCGATGGCTTCATTTAAACAGATTGTCCCTTATCTTTGCTCTCTAAGTCGAGCACAGGCCTTTGGCAAAAAGCGATCAAATTCTGACCTGACCCTCAGTGGGCTGGGGAATATTCTCTGTATTTGGTTCATTTACTCACATCCCAGACCAGCACCCACAAATCCGTAACTCAATAATTAAAATCCACTCTACTCACCCGTGCAGTGGCCCGCTGCTCCTGTGCCCTGAATCCAATTCCTTTGGGGTGAGCCTTGAGGATGGAATCCACCCACCTCTCCTTTTTCCTACCTCTGCAATTAACATAGCCCCTCCTCTGTGGCCTCACCAGCCATTTTAGAACCAGAAGGTCTTTGTCTATTCATAGACACTGTAAAAGTAACATTGGTCTTATGCTTTTTAATCTAATTTCAGTGTCTTCCATGATTCTCATTGGTTTATCTAATCAGCATGTCCTAGGGAGGTTTATTACGGCCCCGTTCGCTTGTCCAATCACCATGGAGCCAACGAAGGCGTTCCCTGGGTAGAAGGGGCTCCTCTAAAATAGACAGCGCTCAAGAAACGTGTCAGACTGTTCGCCTCCTTGCTCCATGGGCCTG